TGATTATCATCAATGCATCAATATTGGTCTTATGTTGTTACATTTGACATTCCTTGAACTATTTGACATGCTTGTCTCAAGTTGTAACTTGCTTGCATTTAAACTTTATTAAGTTATATGTTCCCTTCCTTGATGGTTGTTACCATGTTTTCCTTCATCTTTGTTTAGATGCTTCAAGTTGATGTTACCTTATTTGTGGTCTTGTAAAAACCTCTACTATGTTCCCTCTCTGGATATTATAATATCTTTGTACTTTATTGGTTGTATCCATTTAACTTTATTGTAATCTCTGCTTAATGTTGTTACATGCTTGCGTATCTCTTCTTGGTTAGCACCATGGTCTTTTATATGCTCATCATGTTTGAATGAATACATGTATTACTTTTTAACTTTGTTAAGTTGTTCCCCAAGTGATGGAACTTGTTAGTTCTCATCCAGTTGCCTCATATTTTCCCATTCCAAAGGAAAGTCTCTCTATTGACCCTTGGGTCATAGACAACTCATTACCCCCTCTTTGACTTTGTTAAGTCACTTTGAATCCTCACTAAGTTAAGTTAGAACCTACAAGCCATTAAACTTTATTTTAAGTCTAAAATACCTACCCCTTATTAGGAGTACCCTTCATTAGAACTTAAATATAGAGTTTGTTAACTCTATGTAACAATCATTGTCATGATTACTTGCTCCCCCCTTGACTTTTGTCAAAGTCAATCATCTTGAGTGTACAACTTAGAATAGAGAGTTTTGTTAAACTCTATACAAGCATTGTTATATTTGTTCCCCTTTGAACCTTTATCATAATCAAGTGTTCATCTATCCTAGTGAAGTGAACTACGGTTGCTTTGATTCTATCCTAGTTAGGATATGTAGGCAGAGGATGCGACGTCTTTGCGAGCAAACTTAGAAATTATCTTTAGGTCTTTACCTTTACCTTATACCCTATCCCAAGCCAAAGCAAACATTTAGCAAGTATAGCATACAGACATACAAAAGGTTCCTGTAGAGTACTACAAATATTTAGGATGTGAAATACCTACCCTAGACATAACCAACCCCCGATCCCCGATCTCTTAGCGTTGTTGTTACATCGCGCAAAAGGGTTTTTCTTTCTTTAACCTTTCCTTTGGATAAATTAAAGTCTGGTTGTGAATTTTAAGAATTAAGATTCAAGTTAATCAATAGCTTGATATCACGATTCTCACTGCAACAATAGACAACGTGCATTTTTTTATAAAATCATGCAAGTTGTGAATAGTAAAAAAGGAGGGGTGTTTTTTTACATGGTTATGGAGGCACTGGAAAAACTTTCTTATGGAGAACTCTATCAAGTGCATTGCGTTCATAGAAAAAAATTGTTTTTATTGTTGCTTTGAGTGGGATAACATTGTTATTATTGCCAGGTGGAAGGATAACACACTCAAAGTTCAAAATTCATGTGCCAACACTTGAAAATATTAATACACAACAAGGACGGTGCATTATGTTTGACTACTACCAATGTTGTGTACAAAGAGCTCTTCCAAGCACTATGTTAGTTGGTAAACGAATTTTACTTTTTCTTTGATGCTAAAATTTTAATCTTCGTCTTTTAAATCTTTCTTTTGTTGATGTTTTATGCCAATTGAAATTAGAGAACAAGTCATACGATTTATTCACTTCAACAAGTTTTTTAAATATTCAATCATTGTAAATATTTTTGCATTCAATTTGTTTGATATTGGCAATCTTGTGGATTCAATATAAAAATTGCAGTGAGGCCAATAAACATGTTTTCTTTTAACATTTTTGATGTAAAAAATCACCACTTAAGAAGATAACATAAGTAACTCTTGCTTTTTCGAGTTTATAATTAGTACACTCTCATAATTTATTGAGTCATATTTCCATTATTTTTGAAAATACTACTTGGATCAATGCATAAAAGTTTGTACATATTATTAATTTATACATGTAATTCTTTAAATGTCTATGATCTATAATACAAATTTATATTTTAGGCAAAATATATTTTTTGGTCTCTTAACTATACCATTGGGTTCAGATTGATCCCTTAATTTTTTTTTCCGTGTCACCTTGGTCTTTTAACTTTTTAGTAGATGCATATGAGTCCCTTCCGTCTATTTTCCTCAAACTTCCATTTATTTAAGCTATGCGGCAGCTGAGTTGGCAATGGTACATCATCTTCCTTATTACCAATTTGCTTCTTCGTTTTTCACTTTGCATATTCGTTTTCTGCAATATTGGTTCATCGTTTTCATCATTCGTTTTCTGTAATATTAGGGCAATATTGGTTCTTCGTTTTCATCGTTTTTTTTATTTCTTCGAAGCATGAAGTCCAGCCAATGTTCTTTGTTTATGAAGCTGGAGAACTTTGAAAGTTGTGAGTCCAGTGTATACACAAGCTCGTGATGTGTACCAAAATGTCATTGTGGAGACAAAGTTGTGATTCATAGGGCAACAACTGATAAGAATTTTGGAAATTATTTGGGGTTGTCCAAATTTTCAGATAAGCCCTAATTTTAGTTTGATTTATGTCTAAATGTGATAAACTTGTTTTGATACATATATGAAATTTTCAGAGATCCTTGCAAAGAGGGTGTGGTTTTTTCAATTGGTTCCATGAGGATTTGGGAAATGAGAATAGGAAATTTATAATGAATGGATTGGAAAGCATAGCAAATGAAATTGATGATGCAAGAAAGGAGTTTGAAAAAGTCAGGGTGACAAATGAAGAATTAAGGAAGTTTTTTATGGAACTTAGAACTCAAGTGAATAAGATCTTGAAGTGGAAAAAAACATGGAATATTATGTCTCGTGTAATCTTATGTGTATTGTTTTTTAGGATGTTTTAGGAGTATGTATCAGTTTGCATGGATGAGTTGGTATGTATCAGTTTATATCAGTTAGCAATATCAGTTTGTATCACTGTATTGTTATGGATGAGTTGGTATGTAACACACTGTATCAGTTTAATATGAGTTGGTTTGTTTGGTAGATTATTGTTTGTACCAGTCCATAAAAATATCAGTTTTACTTAACTAGTTTACTTAACCAGTTTATAATATCAATTCATAAACCATTCCATAAACACAATGTAACACATGTTGTTTACTTAACCAGTTTACAATATCAGCCCACATAACATGAATTCCATAACACATAAATTGATTTACATAACACACTATATAATTATAAGACATAACAAAATTCCAAAGGTTCCAAAATGACATTGACATGTTACATAAACATGTTCAAGATACATTGCATAATACCAAAATGATTCAAGGTGGTTCATATTACAACCAAAGTGCTTCAAAATACATGCTAAAACTGTTAACTAGACAAGGGCTAAATAACACTAGATGTTCTTATTTGATGTGATTCTCTTGGTTGAAGTAGACCTCCTGGTTGTTGGGCCAACTACATTCTTGGTTGCAGCTAATCTTGTTGTTGATCCTGGGGGTACAAATGGTCTTCTTACACCTAGTTTCGGTGTCTTGCCATTTCCTTGAGTTACTTGAGTTGCCTTTCCTTGAGATGACTGAGTAGCATTCATGTATCATTGAGATGATTAAGTAGCATTCTTATATCCTTGAGTTGCCTGAGATTGTTGAGTAGCATTCCTACTTTCTTGAGTTGCATTGCCTTGAGATTGTTGAGTAGCATTACCATGAGATTGTTAAGTTGTATTGCCTTTACCAACATTTTCTAATCCCACTCCAACATTAACATCCTTCACTCAAACATTATTTGATTTCCCTCCAACATTGTTTGATTCCACTCCAACATTGGCTGAGTCCACTACAACATTGTCATCCTTCAATCTGACATTACATTCTTCCACACCAACATTACCATCATTCAACTTATCTACAGTGTCATCATGCAGTTTATTAAGCAACTCTTCCACCCCATCTATAATGTTATCAGACCCCTCATCAACAGTATCAACAACATCATTACAATAATCAGGCTGAGACAAAGTGTGTTGAATATAGATATCAACACTTTGGTGCATCCTGTAAAGATCTGCAATTTCTAAAGCACCTTTGTCATCAACAAGGGCATTCATCCCAAATGTAGGGTCTTTTAATATATTGTCTCAAAGTCCTTATAACATAACTCCTTCAATACACCAACTAACTCAAAATAACTCCATTTATCAACATTTACTTTCAAATCATCTACTAGTCCTCCTTTATATACACTTAGTTCAGGATCAATGAATTCACCATTATGATGAATTTTGAGTTTCATAAATCTATCCATTTATCTTTATTCAAATAGATTTCGTCAAAGCCCTAAAGCATGAAAAATCCTAAATCTAAAAAAAAAATATTCTAAATGTACATAAATCCCTAAAGTTTGTCCTAATTTAGTTATGAAAACATGCAAATAATACTGACCTTTATTTGAAAATTAGTCTTCAATCCTTCACTTCCTTGATTTCGCGTGACTGTGCTCCTTCAAACGCTGGTTCAATCGTTTCTTCGAAACCGTCTTCATGTATCTTCACCTTAGGGTTCATTTGTTTTGAACAACAACAAAACGTTTTAGTTGCTATATTGAGTCTCATATCCATGTTATCAAGTAACATGCCACTTGGAAGCTATTTCTTGGTTTTGACTAACGTCCACTAACGGAACCACAAATATGACAATATTTCAAAAATTAATAGACCAATATGATACGAAAAAAATTAATTGATAAATATAAATTCAAAAATATAGTAACAAAAAAAAAATTACCTATATTTTAGTAGTAGTTTTTAAACTAAAGGGATTATCGATATCTATCTCATGTTAACAAATCTCAAATCTCATGGATTGGGTATAATTTTCTCTACTAAAAATCTTCTAAAAATGACTAATTTATGAGAGAGGGAATTTATCTTTAAAATAAGAAAAATGAAAGTTATCTTATGATTGCCGCCAGCCATGGTATTATCTTGCAACCAACCATGGCGTAACTGAATCCTGAACTCTCACCTCTCTGTCGCCATGGAAGCTCTACACGCGCTCTCACTTCGCCCCCTTGCACAATTCCAACCAGACACCGACCAAATTCGACGCAACCTAATAAAAAAAGGTGTCAATCCCACACCAAAAATCGTCCACAACCTTCGCAAGAAACAAATTCAAAAACACAATCGCAAACTCAACCGCCAAGCCCAGGAGTCCCCTCCACTCTCCAAGACTCAGAAACAAACATTGGAGGAAGAGCAGCACTTTCAGGAAATCAAACATGAATACAAACAATTCACAAAAGCATTGGAACGAAATTCGGAAGAGAACAAGGGTTTGTCTTTGGTGGGGAAGCCATGGGAAGGGGTTCAAAAAGTTGGGTTTTTGGAGAGAACGAAAGAGTTCCAAGGAGTAAAACTCAAGAGGGAGAGTTTAATGGAGTTGAAGGAAATGTTTCATGCTCGGAAAATGGATGAATTGAAATGGGTTTTTGAGGATGATCTTGAAATTGACGAGGTTTGGTTTGATGAAAGTAGTGATAGGAAAAAGACTAGTAAACGTAGTGAGGTTCAGGTTGTAAGGTTTCTTGTTGATAGGTTTGTGTTTTGTTTTCAATTTTCTGTGAATTGCTTTGATTGAATTTTTTTGTGCAAGTTATGGAAGATTTTTTTTGTTGTTGTAGATTGTGTGATAGGGAAATTGGGGCTAAGGATTGGAAATTCTCGAGATTGATGAAGCTTTCGGGTTTGCCTTTCACAGAGGGTCAGTTGTTGATGATTCTTGAAATGCTTGGTGTTAGAGCTTGTTGGAAGCAAGCTCTATCTGTGGTTCAATGGGTGTACGATTGTAAGGATCGCAGAAAGTTTCAAAGCAGGTGTTTTTTCCCTTCTGAAAGCCACCAAATATTATGCATGATTTTATTATTCACATTTTTGTTGTTGTTTTACATGCTTAGTGCTTTGCATATTCGGTTCTCTCTTACGATGAAACTAATTATGATTTTGTAGGTTTGTGTACACAAAACTTCTTGCAGTTCTTGGGAAGGCAAGAAGGCCACAGGAAGCTCTTCAAATTTTCAATTTGATGCGCGTAAGAATCAAGTGCTTAGTTTGTTTTTTTTCATCTAAAGACTCGTCTTTAATTGTTGTTGTACGTCGCTGTATTGATTTACTCTCAACTTGTCCAGGGAAACATTCATGTATATCCTGATATGGCTGCATATCACAGCATTGCTGTCACACTTGGTCAAGGTGGTCTTTTAAAAGAGTTGCTGAATATCGTGGAATGCATGAGGCAGAAACCCGAAACATTTAAATATATGTATCGCAAAAACTGGGATCCAAGTATTGAACCTGATTTGGTTATATATAATGCTGTAAGAAAGCAATTTCATATAACTTTCTTTAGAATAACATTTTGCAGATTGATTAAATCTTTGGGTTTCTTCAATTACTGTTAGGTACTTAATGCTTGTGTTCCATCAAAGCAATGGAAAGCTGTGTCATGGGTTTTTCAGCAACTGAGGGAAAGTGGTCTGAAACCTAATGGAGCTACTTATGGACTTGCGATGGAGGTAATTACAGGATTACAATATCGACAACAAGTAACTTATCTTGAAAAAAATAGATACTAAATAACTTGGCTCTTCTTACTTTTCACTACAAGGCTACACACATAATCAAATTGATAACTGCTATTCTGAGTTGGTAGTTATTATGCTGTCATCTTTGTTGATGCCGCAAACAAAAAATTAAACATGGTACAATATATAAGCTGTTTTGGGAGAACTATTCTCGAAAAATCTATTTGGTTGATTTATTATGGTATTACTTTTTTGAAAATGTGATCAAGTCTTACAGGTGATGCTTGTTATAAGGTAATGCTGCAATCGGGCAACTATGACCTTGTCCATGAGTTATTTCAAAAGATGAGGAGCAGTGGGGAAGTTCCAGAAGCCCTTACATATAAAGGTAGTGTTTTACTTTTCATATCATTTGCAACTGTTATTCTGATGGCCTGCTATATATTTCCTCTCTTCCTTAGTGTTGGTGAGAACTTTTTGGAAGGAAGGTAAAGTTGATGAAGCTGTGAAAGTTGTCAGGGACATGGAAAGACGGGGCGTTATGGGAACAGCTAGTGTATATTATGAGCTAGCATGTTGCCTTTGCAACTGTGGTAGATGGCAAGATGCTATTCTAGAGGTACTTTTTTTTTTCAATTAAACTCCAAATTTGTCATTCAGATACTCACAAAACCCTGATTTAAGTATTTTTTTTCATTGAAATATGGCTTGTAGGTTGAGAAGATAAAAAGACTTCCTCACGCTAGACCCGTGGAGGTTACTTTCACCGGCATGATTAGGTCATCAATGGATGGTGGGCACATTGATGATTGTGTATCTATATTTGAATTTATGAAAGACCACTGTGCTCCTAACGTAGGGACAGTAAATATCATGCTGAAAGTTTACGGCCAGAATGACATGTTTTCTAAAGCTAAAGTTTTATTTGAGGAAGTTAAGGTTGCAAAGTCAGATTTACGACCCGATGCATACACGTATACCTTAATGTTGGAAGCATCTGCCCGTTCACATCAGTGGGAATACTTTGAGCATGTGTACAAAGAGATGATTCTCTCGAATTATCATTTTGATCAAAATAAACACTTGGCATTACTTCTTAAAGCTTCAAGAGCTGGCAAGGTAGAGAATATACTCGTTATTCCTTTAATGTCTCTGTTTCTTTCCTGTTAGTTATTACTAGTGGCCACGGTTAGCCAATGGAACGACAAAAGCCTCTCTTCACTTCTTAATATTGGATTTGACGGCATATTATGGTTTCAATGCAGTTGCATTTACTGGAGCATGCATTTGACATGATTCTGGAGGCTGGAGAAATTCCTCACCATCGTTTCTTTTTCGAGTTGGTGATTCAAGCTATGACTCGAGATGATTATGAGCGAGCAGTAGTGTTACTTAGCACCATGGCTTATGCGCCATACCGAGTAACTGAAAAGCAATGGACAGAACTGTTCAAAGAAAACAAAGACAGAATTGATCACGAAAATCTAGAGCTGTTGTTGGATTCTCTTGGTAATTGCACGGTTGTATCAGAAGCAACAGTCTCAAATTTATCAAAGTCATTGCATGTTCTTTGTGGATTAGGTTCATCAACAAACACTTCAAGTATCCATTTGGGAAGTGAAAATGTCAATGGTCTGAAAGAGGCAAATGAAAGTGCTGAACCTTGGAATGACACTTTTCTCGGTACTGATCAAGCTGAACCAGATACATTTACCTTTAACCATGATCAAGTCGACAGTGTGAACAATAATGATGTGATGGTTTCCATGCCACAAAACTCTGATATTGAAGATAAAGTAAGTATACATGCCGATAAACTGAATTCTTTTGATCATCTGGAACATGACAAGTCTTCAGATGATGAGCTCTCGGATGACGAAAGCGACGAAGATGATGATGTTGGTGAGGGAGTGATTGACAAGCCTTCAGCATATCAAATATTGGAAGCATGGAAGGAAATGAGACAGGTGGATAGGAGTTTGTTAGACTCTGAAATTAATTGTGGCTAGTCATTGCAACTTGTTGTAGGCTATGTTTAGGAGTTTAGAAGGTAGTCATTGCAGTGCTTTAGGAAAAAGGAAGGAGAATCTCCTAACTTGAATGGAGGGTTAGGTAAGAAAGTCTATAGCATGTCTGAGAAGTGTAAAAGATGTATAAAAGCTACGAAAGAAAAAGTTAAAACACTTGGTTGAATACATATGAATGTTAGACATATATACATGTTTAACACTAAAACACACGCCTAGGTAATCCTTTGATCTTTGTACTATGAGTCTCTATATATTATCTTGTTCTTGTTAACCATCTTATCTCTGCTTTTTAACTATCGTTTTTATAATATAAAAAAATTGGGTTCTTAATACTTTTCAAAGTTATATACAACATAAACTATTGTTTTAATCAATATATTTTTTGTATTGAGAGAAATAAGAGAATGAAATATTAAATAATTAAAAATATTATGAAAAACATACAATTAATTTATTAAAAATTAATAAAGTTCAATAGATTTTTAGAATATATATATATATATATATATATATATATATATATATATATATATATATATATATATATATATACATATATATATAACTTTAAAACAACTAAAATAAAACGAAGGAAGTAAACCAAATAACAATTACACACAGAATAGTCATAAATTCCCTTCTCGAAAGCAAGGATTCCTCGATATATGAAACTTGTTCGAGAATTATGGACTATCTTATAAAATTTGGGTTTTTCTACACTTAACGCTGCTAGTTCATCGGTCTAAAAGTCACAAAAATTTATGGTTTGTGGAGATGTATCTTCAGACATATCCAACTTACACACCCTTAACACTTAAATGAATGAGTCATTCTATTTTGTCCAAAAATATTTTTCGAAAATGTATATCCGTAATAATCTTTAATTTAAAAGTCAGTGTTTGTGTTCAGTGAGGCTTGCGGAGATGTATCTCCGAATGGAGTTTAATTGATATATATCACGCTAAGACCTTTCCTCTTCATTCTCTATTTTTTACATTTCACAAACCCTTCAAATTCAAAGCTCGTGAGAAAGAACCAACAAGGTCATTTTTCAAGTGAGAAAGAACCAACAAGGTCATTTTTCAAGTTTCAACACTACTTCAACTGCATTGCAATCAATTCTAGTAGATTTCATTCACTCTATTCAAACTTTCACATAACAAATCTCTCAATCGATAAGTTTCTCATTTTCTTTCTATTTTTGAGTTGAAATAGATACCTTAGATAAAACAATTTTTTAAATGCATTAGTTTGTAGTTACATTTAAAATAGGTAATTTGTTTAAACATGCAAACGAATTTGTTGTATTTAGGACATTGTCTGCATTTTCTGGAAGTTCCGCAATGTCGGACTTTTTATAGAGATATATCTCTAGTTTTTTCTAGAATTTTTGTATTCTCAACTTTACAGAGACACATCTCCGAATTTTTTTTCTTCTGTTTTACGTGATGCATCTCCAAAATTTTCTCGCATATCTGGGTGGCAACTTGAGATAAAGTACAGTGAGGATTGACCTCGTGCTTGCGCTTTTGTCCCATACAGAGTGAATCTTGTGATAGAGTCGTAAAAGGTGTTTATGGGCCGCACTATAGCAGATGACATATGCTTATGCTCGTACGATGGCCAACATCAGACACGTCATTTGGACGACCTAGCGTTCTACTCTAGATGATTGACTTGTGGGTCGCGTCTGATGTATCCACATTTTTCTGACCGGGTCATGCGCCAGTTCGGGTATCGACAAATAATTTCAAGACAAACCTCCATGTCTGCTCCTTCGACATTCCGTCGCAAAGATCTTAATTCATTCTAGATGATTTCTATAGTCATCTGATACTAGAGGAGACACACAATGTGTCAGCAAGTGACTCATGGGCTTATGAACAAGGTTATATCCAATGGTTCAATTAAATGTCACATCTATACATGATACCAAATGTTGTGGGAGCACCACCTAGACCTGCTCTTCAAGAGATATTGAAATAGAGGTGGGTTAGGGATGACCGCACAACTGACATATTGTTGGTCTATCAGCATATTGCGTAGGTTACAAGAGATGCCATTGAGACAAGAGACATTATAGAAAGCAATCCTGGTATAGTCCCCTTACTGACTATCTTACTCGAGGCCCCTAATGCTTTAGGGTACAAGCGACTACAAAGGAGAAGCATGAGGTTAAAAATACTTAATAGTTTATTTGTATTCGTATTTTGATAATAGTTGTATCGTGGTAACATTTTGATTTGTATTATTGTTTGAATTTATATTACACATCTTTGAAGGAAGTTAAAAATACCTTTTGATTTGTATTATTGTTTGAATTTATATTACACATCCTTGAAGGAAGTTAAAAATACCTTATAGTTTATTTGTATTTGTATTTTGATATCAATAGTATTGTGGTAACATTTTGATTCTGGTAACATTTTGAATCATATTATTGTTTGAATTTATATTAAACATCCTTAAATTGCATTAGTATAATTAGTATGTTGTTAATATATCCTTAGTATAATCGTCATTGGATAATCATCATTAGTATAATCATTATTGGATAAAAAATATCAATATATGACTCTTGCTGCTAAGGCAAAATTTCTCAAATTCTTTCAAGAATTATTTCGAAGATACATATGCAAGAACACCCCTAAAAAGTTACTCTCCAGTACATATTTTGAAAACTATAGAGTGATTGGTTCACTTGTGGAGTGTTGTATGTATTTTACATATTTTGAAAACTGTAGAGTGACTGGTTCACTTGTGGAGTGTTGTATGTATTTTAGATGCGTCTAAGGATGCATCTCCAAAATATAAAAAGACAAATTCATATTTCCAATTTATTCACCCTCAACCCATGGAGTGGATAAAGTAATACCCTAAACCTAAAATTTTACCAAGCAAATGCCTCTAAACTTCATCTATTAACATACACACCTCGACAAATCCAAAAGACAAATGAGATTTGTCATGCATGTAAAAGGTGATGTAACAATGTCTTAGAACAAGAATGTAAATGGCCTGCATTTCAATGACAATCCAAATTGCTTTTAGAGCACTAATAAAATTGATATTTTTCATCCAGTCCAAATGAAATGTATATGCTGATCGTTCCATTACAACACTCTTCTTTAGCACTTTGTAACATTCTTCGTTGTCTTCCTTAATAATTAAAAGGAAAAAGTAAGATAAAAATTATCATTAACTCCTGATAGAATGTTTCAAGAATCGTCCCACATATTCCAGATTTACAAGCCGAAAGTTATGTACAACTACAAAAAAATTGGCAGTAGGCACAGCAGTCGAACCATTGTCTCAAACCAACTCGGCCGATGATGAATACCTAAAGTCTACGGCATCTGCATAATTTACAAACATTAAGCAAGCTTAACCAAAAGAACTAGTAGAAACTACTACTACTACATAGCAACAGATAAAAACAGCAGTGATTAATTAAACTAAACTAAGAACTAACAAATTCCTTGTGTAAAAGCATCAGAAAAGTGCAGCAATGGTTAAAGCTTTAAAATAATTAAATATATAAGTATGTGAAGATTCTAAATGAGTGACAGATTGAGGAAGCTACCAAATATGAAGCATTTTGCATTTAAGCGCCTTCTTCGCTGCTTTTGCAAAGACTTGAGCAGCCTCAGCTTCAGCTTCTGCAGCCTCTGCCTCCCTAGCTGCTGCCTCAGCCTGTGCAATGGCAACTTCAGCCTCTGCAACTGCTTTTGCGGCTGCAGCTGCCGCCTCTTGAGCTGTCATGCTCCTCACTTTTGATAGCTCTGCGTCAATTTGAGATTTTGAAACGATGTTGACATTACTGCTCTTCTCCACTTCTAGAGAATCTTTGGGCCTCGCGTCCATGAGTATCAAGGAAGAGCTTCTTCTTTTCTCAGAGACTGTTGGGCTTGGCATAACTTTATACTTGTGCTTTTCCTGTCAATATATATGTCATTGGCAGAATAAACTCATCATATCTAAAATTTGATTGCATGTCAAGTTTGTATGGTACTATCTCTCTTGCTAAGAAATTGATGATATCAAGTTGTTATGCGAAAAGAAAACACGCATCTATTTACATCTATACATAATTCAACAACAACCAAGTTTTATCCTACTAAATAGGGTCAACTACAAAGATCAAACAACACCATAATGTTCTATCGTATATCATATCTCTATCCAACTTATTAATCTCTAAATCTTTTTTAATAATTCCTTTTAAAGTTTTAAGAGTGATTTGACTATCCGATGATTTATGCAACTCTATAATTTGACTACACGGTGATTTGTGAAACTACCCTACACTTAATCTACTCTTCTTACCACAAAACTTCTAAGTCTTCTCTCTACATGGTCAGCCACCTAAGCCTAGTTCCCACTATTTGTACTACGATAGGCATTATCCCAGCTCTTTATAATGTTGTCATTTCTATCTTATTTTGTCTAGTTTGCCATTCATCCAATACAACATCCCCATCTTCGTTACTTTTGTTTTATTCTCGTGTCGTTTTGTTTATCGTTCAAATACTCCCTCGCGTACACATCAGCTTGAGCGATATTTTGTACCACACAAAACACCTGATATCCTCCTCCATCTCAGTCATCTCGCTTGAATTCGATGGTTTATAATAGAGACCAAATAGGGGTCATAAGGAAAAAGAAAGTATTATGTAATAATGAGTGTGGTAAGGACATATCATAAATAAAGAGTGAATTAGGATTCTTAGTTGGCGGGTTAGTTATGCCTTATTACTATAAATAGTGATGTTAGTGAATGGTACACATTATGTTTTAGAATGTTGAATGAAAAGAGCTATCTCCTCTAAAGAGCTTTGCCCTAGGGTAGATTGAAATTCATTTCGGTCTATTGTTCTCTTTCTTCATCTATTAAATATTTTACATTGTTGATATATTTTCTTAACTTCATTTCTTACAATGGATTTTAGAGTTCCATCAATTTACATCTCTTTTTTCTC